CAAAGTCAAAGTGGGAAAAGGATCAGAACACTCCCACACACACCCCTGACTACCTTTCCTATCGTCACCATACAAAACTGTGTCGACAATGGATAGCAAAACAACTACTGTATCACAGAGGTAGAATTAAAACTAGCATGCCTTCGTTAAATAAAATGTGGTAGGAATGTGAAACAAATGATCACAGAGTTATTGTTCACAGTTAGTGTTTTACGTTTTGAACAAAACACCAACTAATTGTTATCTGATATTCTATTCTTTGAAAAAGTTAAAACCAAAAGTTAAAACCACATCTCATAATCTTCGTGTGAGTAGACCACCTGTCTGCCCGATCCAGACTCGAATATTTCTCTTGAAAGGCTTTATTTTTTCAGTCTTTCTGGGAAGACAATTTGCTACAGATTCAATACAACAGATATATCAAATCTGAAATTTATAATTAATATATATGAGTAGATCTACCAAAACACGTTCTGCGATTTTTAGAACGATCATATTTTCAGAACTATGAACAGACAGAGTCCAGTTTAGAGTTGTCCTTCCTTGGTGACGACACTTCCTGTTTTCGCTCGGCACGTGTTGAACTGTTGACGATAGAGAAGAATTAATCAAGTCTCGTTTTAAAGTCATATACGAAGACAATGGGCTTGTTTTCTATAAAAAGCAAGAAACAGTATGTCAAAAAGGGTGTAAGTTCACGATGTTACCTTCATAAATGTGGATTTGTCATCCGTTTATCAACAATGACGTATATCATATGCATGTTACTGGGTCTATATTGTTACAACTGGTTGTTGACATTGTTGTGTCATTTGAGGCAAGAACTAATTTAATGTCAATTTCACTTTGATCAGTTTAATTAAATAAGGTCTTTACTGTTCAAAGATTTTTAACTGTCTGTCAATAACTCCTTACACTAAAAAAAAAAGTTACACTTCAAACACCATGCTCTCGCTATACTATATCATATATGGAAATTGCTAATTAAATATGAGTCTATAATATTTTTGAAAATGTTCACTGAAAATTAATGTCATAGGTATTCAGTTTTATTTTTCATTAGGAAAATCTATGCAAAATTGTGTTCTTAAATGAAACATCTTTTCCTGAACATGATATAAATTTCCATTTTGTCCAAAAACTTTTTTTTTTTCAAGCTGAGGAGGTCCATGAACTATTCATCTCTATGATCATATAAAACCCTTTTGTTCGGAAATTGATAGTTTGTGAAATAATAATAATAATGTTCAAATATAGCCTGATTAGCCTATAGCAAAATAGGCAGAACGGCCTATATTATCCCGTTCGGTCTATAATAGGCCAAACGGTAGGTTTCCCCAACCTGACAAAGATTTTGAAAGATGGCAGTCAGCACATATGACTGGAAAGCAAACTCAAATTTAACAACTTTGCCAGAGATTGATTTGGGTTTTTTTGGGGGGGAGAAGGAAATATGAACAAGAGAATATGTTTGGCACAAATAATTGTCTGTTATTGAAATTTCTTGGTGTTAACAGAGAAAGACCAGGGGAAAATGGGGAAAAGAATAAATAACAACTGTAGTTGACTTTCAAACATTTGCGCTTGCTGAAGTGTGTGTGGAAATTTCCAGATACCTGTTTTAGAACCTTATGGTATTTCCTCTGTGATTGCACACTACTAACTCGTATTTTGAACCTTTTTCAATGGATTTATCTTGTCATACCAGGGATGACCCTATTTCCAAAAATATTTGCTGTAAGCCTGGACTATCCCAAAAGTTATCACGAAAAGGAATGGTTGTGTTCTGCTATAAGCCCTATCTTTTAGCTATGCAATAATACGTCCTTACAGTGTATTATTATGTCCCAGTACAAGGCCCTGTATCGTAATACGTTGTATCTTATACTGTTGTATAAACATTTATAATAACAGTGGGTGAGTGGGTTAAGTTTAACACCGCTTTTAGCAATATTCCAGCAACATCCAATTGTGAAAACTAAGAGAGCCCGTACATCCTTTATTCCAAGTACCATATCTCTCTTAAACAAATGTGAAGATGCCTAAATCAATATGTTTGGTATCTCTCTAATGTGTCAGTAGCTCTGCTGATGTAACACAAATTCCTGAAAAGGCATTAAAGTATTATTCTATTCTATTCTATTCTGTCACGGTAGGGAACACCAGAAATGGGCTTCACACTTCGTACCCATTTGGTTAATCGAACCTAGGTCAAAGGCGTGACGAGGAAACACTTTAACCACTAGGCCGCTTCTGTATAACAGATTTAAGATGCTAAACAAAACTGTTTTGCAACCTGCTCATATGGGTTGTCAAGTATTTTTCAAATGTTTACAAATAACATAAAACAGTTTCTTCTAGCCTAAATTTTTAAGCCCTTATTTAACCCATCTTTGATCTCTGAAGTTTGAAAATAAAAGAACACTTTAAAATCATTGGAACATTAGGGAGGATTTAAACTTTGATTCAGGGTTATGATTCACGTGAATGTGTAAATAAAAGAATATCAATATTTGAAATATATTACTGAATTATGGTGGTGTTGGAAATTGGTTGAAATCTCACAATTGATAATTGGTTCATTGCCAACATGCAATTATCAAAATCAATTGGTTAGCATAATTGTTTTCAGATTTTCCTGTTCAGGTTGTTATCGCAAATTTCATATCCAGTTTAAATGATGCAACTTACTACTTTAAAGTGATGACTAATATATCATGAACATAAACGTCCTGGAGTTTTCAAGAAATATTCGTCATGACGTTTTGTTAAGTGAAGTGAGTTTTCTAAGAATTAAACTAGCAATTATATTTTCTGGCCCTGACAAATTGTAAGATATGAGACCCGTGAAGATCCGGTGTAGAATAGGTCTTCAGCAACCCATGCTTGCCACAAAAGGCGACTATGCTTGTTGTAAGAGGCAACTAACGAGATCGGGTGGTCAGGCTCGCCGACTTGGTTGACACATGTCATCGGTTCCCAATTGCGCAGAACCATGCTCATGCTGTTGATCACTGGATTGTCTGGTCCACACTCAATTATTTACAGACCGCCGCCGTATAGCTGGAATATTACTGAGTGCGGCGTAAAACTAAACTCACTCACTCTAAGATATGTTCTATTGTCAAGTGTTTCAAGCACTAAAACTGGTTGTAAAAAACGTTTGTGTTCAATTATGAGAAACTGTGATCGATTGCTTGGTTGTTTGGTCACTGTGAACAATCTTTGATTATTTCAATTACTCAGAACACCACTCCATTATGGCACAATCATATTGTACCCACAGTATCAGGATATGTATTGTAATGTTCCAACATCAGACTTCTGATGATTGATTGCTCCTTTCTAATGTCCCAGTCCTGATGCTTTACATATGTTTAAGGGAGCAGTGGGGTAGCCTAGTGGTTAAAGCACTGGCTCTTCACGCCGAAGACCCGGGTTCGATTCCCCACATGGGTACAATGTGTGAAGCCCATTTCTGGTGTCCCCCCGCCGTGATAGTGCTGGAATATCACTAAAAGAGGTGTTAAATTAAACTCACTCACTTGCATGTGTTTAAGCACTGACTGTTTGTGTTAAGAAGTGACGTTTTCCTGAAAACATATTCTAACTATTTGTACGGGGCCATGTCCAAGAGTGGTCACATGGGAATGACAAGTGTTTATGGATGATCAACTTCTTTATTGTAAAATTGCAACGTTTCGGTACAGAATGATCAACTTCTTTATTGTACAATTGTGACGTTTCGGTATAGAATGATCAACTTCTTTATTGTACAATTGTGACATTTCGGTACAGAATGATCAACTTCTTTATTGTACAATTGTGACGTTTCGGTACAGAATGATCAACTTCTTTATTGTACAATTGTGACGTTTCGGTACAGAATGATCAACTTCTTTATTGTAAAATTGCAACGTTTCGGTACAGAATGATCAACTTCTTTATTGTACAATTGTGACGTTTCGGTATAGAATGATCAACTTCTTTATTGTACAATTGTGACATTTCGGTACAGAATGATCAACTTCTTTATTGTACAATTGTGACGTTTCGGTACAGAATGATCAACTTCTTTATTGTACAATTGTGGACGTTTCGGTACAGAATGATCAACTTCTTTCTTTTGTACAATTGTGACGTTTCGGTACAGAATGATCAACTTCTTTATTGTACAATTGTGACGTTTCGGTATAGAATGATCAACTTCTTTATTGTACAATTGTGACGTTTCGGTTTAGAATGATCAACTTCTTTATTGTACAATTACGTAGCGTTTTACGGTACAGAATGATCAACTTCTTTATTGTACAATTGTGACGTTTCGGTATAGAATGATCAACTTCTTTATTGTACAATTGTGACGTTTCGGTATAGAATGATCAACTTCTTTATTGTACAATTGTGACGTTTCGGTACAGAATGATCAACTTCTTTATTTTACAATTGTAACGTTTCGGTACAGAATGATCAACTTCTTTATTGTACAATTGTGACGTTTCGGTACAGAATGATCAACTTCTTTATTGTACAATTGTGACGTTTCGGTTTAGAATGATCAACTTCTTTATTGTACAATTGTGACGTCATTCCTAATGCTTACAACTTTTAGAGTGGTCACATGGTATGCTAGAATGTGAGTTAACTTTAATAAATTTGTAACCAAGTGTCATTCTGAAGTAATTGAATGAAAATTATAATCTTATCTCTCCATCATGTCTATTTTTTCAAAAATTCTGATAAACCAGATTTGTTTTAACTGGCCTTATCATCATGATCCTAGTCTGTCATACAGACCCTGAAACAAATATATCCAGTACAGCCCATGCAATCTATAATATGTGGTAAGTTAGATTTGTACAGTTTCATAGAATGAAGAAAATCTATAGGCTCCATTTATTTAACATTGTATAAAAATAATTTAAGAACTTTTTTCTGTAATATGTGTTCATTTCAGAGACTAAATGTGAGTCTCTCATGATAATTGTTTATTGCACAGGGTCGGAGAAAAAAGGGTTATGTCCCTTGTAACAGAACAGAGAAGAAGAAGCAGAAGAGGAACACGAGCAGTCAGGTGCTGGTGGAGGATGATGAGTTAATGAGCCGGGAACAGCTGCGGAAGAAGCTGTGAGTTAAGTTCTACTCAAGTGGTCACATGTCATTCTGGTTTACCTCTGCTGGGATGTTGCTGGAGTATTTCGGGAACATTGCTGTGATATTGTTGGAATGTTTCTGGAGTATTTCCAGAATATTGCTGTGATATTGTTGGAATGTTGCTGGAGTATTTCAGGAATATTGCTGTGATATTGTTGGAATGTTCCTGGAGTATTTCCAGAATATTGCTGTGATATTGTTGGAATGTTCCTGGAGTATTTCGGGAACATTGCTGTGATATTGTTGGAATGTTGCTGGAGTATTTCAGGAATATTGCTGTGACATTGTTGGAATGTTGCTGGAGTATTTCAGGAATATTGCTGTGACATTGTTGGAATGTTCCTGGAGTATGCTGGAATATTGCTGTGATATTGTTGGAATAATTTTTTCAATATTGCTGTGCTGTGAATGGAATAGTGCAGGAGTATGACTGTAATATAGTTGGAATTTGGCTGTGATATTGTTGGAATATTGTTTGCAATATTTCTGTGATATGGCTTTTGTATTGTTTGAATATTGCTGTGATATTGTTGGAATATTGCTGAAATATTGTTGGTGTATTGGTGAAATATTGTTGGAATATTTCTGTGATATTGTTGGTATATTGCTGGAATATTGTTTGCAATATTTCTGATATATTGCTTTTGTATTGTTTGAATATTGCTGGAATATTGCTGAAAGTAGCCATACATACTACAGTAATCTTAGCACCATGAAGGTATGTAAAAGTATGGGAGTTAGGATCCTCTTACTGCTACAGTTCCTTAGGGTTGTTTGATTGGCATTCTATGGAATGGGTATTTGTCCATCTGGCTTATCATTTTATCTACACAATATCTTGGGCAACATTGGGGTAATGGTTTTGCAGGATTCTGCAACTTTATGTTGGCTTAACACAAAAGGCAGCATTGAAGTGTTTCTGTTTACAAGAAATGAGGCACTAGTTGATTTGTAGACAAAAGCAAAGGGAGATAATTTATCATTTACCGTTCATGACTGCTGGCAGGCCGTTCTGTCAACATTCGTGTATAATACATGCTACGGTTTCCATCATGGATTCCAGTTTGTACTGGCCCAGGAGGACTATCAGGAACTAATTTAATGGTGCCACTGGCACTTCAGTAAATGGACTTTTTAAACATTTAAAGTTGCTGGACTATATTTCCTTGTCGTTGTCAATCCAAATGACCAACGGCATAAGCATTGATCTATGCAATTGGGATACAATGACATGTGTCAACTAAGTCAGCGAGCCTGACCACCCCGATCCCGTTAGTCACCTCTCATGGGTTGGTAAAGACCAATTCTAACCCTGATCTTCATAGCTCCTCTTGTCAATTTACCTTTAAGTCTCAATAAACCATTTCTTAGTTTTATTTTATTTTTCAGAGGACATCCTATCACAGATATTTTTGTGAATATTGACCGACCAATGAAATGACTTGCAAGGTGTCGACATTAGCCAATCAGCGTTTTTAACTTTTAAAGCCTTTGTTTCAAACTTGCAAATTCCAATCCGGACAACACATTACGTATTTTAACAAGGTTCTTGATTCATAATCTGAAGGGGGCGGTGGGGTAGCCTAATGGTTAAAGCGTTCGCTCATCATGCCGAAGACCCAGGTTCGATTCCCCACATGGGTACTATGTGTGAAGCAGAGCTCCAGATAAGATTTAGCTCATGTGGGTACTGTACCCACTGTATATTTTTGGAGTGGGTATTATGAATGTTGAGTCGGTATTTCATTTTCCGTTACCCACTGCATTTAAATATGTGCGTATTTCAGTCATTTTACTCACCTAAGTATTATGTGACTGAGTAAGTTTACTAAGCAGGTATGTTCTGCCTTATGTCATACCTAATCAAAACCAACTTAAATATAATGGAAATGATTTCATAAAAAATCACTGATCCTATACTGACAGTACAACACTTGTCCTATACTAACAGTACAACTTGATAGCAATCGATGTCTCTTTCATTACGAAAGCGATTTTTATAAATATATTCGTGCAGCATTTGTTTTAAACTTTTGCGTATCTAACATTTTAAATCGTGGTGGTGCGCAACAATTATTTTCAATGCGTAATTGGAAATTTTATATGCGTATTTTACCCGGATACGCAGCTTATCTTGGCCTCTGTGTGAAGCCCATTTCTTGTGTCCCCCGCCGTGATAGTGCTGGAATATTGCTGCAGACCAGGCTATGGAAATTTTTTTGTGAATTAATGGTTTATCCTTTTTAATCAAAAGACAAATATTTTTATGAATTAAGTCATAACTGTCATTCAATTTATGAATTGTTAACCTTTTCAAGATTGCATGATTGGAAAACACAATTTGTACTGTCATCAGATGGCTCTGTTGTTGGATGAAAGGTTGTTCTAACGTGACTCTTGACTGGATATCCTCATATCTTTGTTTAGCAATCACAAGAATTAGGACCTGATTTTATTGAGATTTGTTTGCCTCACAAATCAAAGTGTTGCATTTTTTTATCCACAATCGAATATTTTATGAGTCCCAAAAAATATTTTTGGGTTTCTTTTGTATGAAAATTACCATCAGGAGAGAATCCGTGAAGAACCCATTTAAAGTTGGTCTTCACCAACCCATGCTTGTCATAACAGGATTGCGTGGTTGGCTTTGTTGACACATGTCATTGTATCCCATTTGCAAAGATCATTGCTCATATATCAGTCACTGGATTGTCTGGTCCAGACTTGATTATTTATTGACCGTTGCCATACAGTTGGAATGTTGCTGAGTGCTGCGTAAAATGACCCCCAATCAAGTCCATTAGGGCAGCAAGAGATGACAGGCAATAACAATGATAGTATTGTATCTTGCTGCTAAATACCTACCCTATATTTCCTGGACTAGCATTTCGGTAAATACCAACATGCTAGACCAGAAGGTACTTTGGATGTGCTAAATATCACACCATCTATACTGAACCCGTGAAGATCCGGGTTAGAATTGTTTTCAGCGACCCATGTTTGTCGTAAGAGGTGATTAACAGGATTGGGTGGTCAGGCTCGCTGACTTGGTTGATCAATGCTCATGATGTTGATCACTGGATTGTCTGGTCCAGACTTGATTATTTACAGACCGCTGGAATATTGCTTAGTGCGGCGTTAAACAACAAACCAACCAACCGACCAACCAACCGACCAACCAATTAGACTGAATGTTACATTTTCAGGAAGAACCGGAACACCAGTATCACAGTATCAGGCAAACGTCGACAAAAGATGTTGAAGCGGCTCCGCCACACAGTGAAAGATGACAGCAAGTTGATACAAGTGGATGGTAGGTGGGATGTACCCAGTGTTGGTGGTCTGATGGTCATCTCGCAGTGTCACTTCTGACAGGAGTGAGCACAGGCTTTTAAAGTGGTTTGGAGACACTTCTGTGCCATTGGCATGTACAACTTGAAAACCATTTTATATTTTAAAACAAAATTGCATATGTAACAAACAGATATTGGAAAGCTACCTTTTACTATGCATGGATTTTTGGCATTTTTGAGAAAAGCATCAAGTACAATGTTTATTCCCATAAGAACAATAATGTACACCTTTCAATATTTACATTTACATCACCTGTCACTAGTAAGGTGTCACACCTTTAAGGTGATGCTAAGACCCGTGAAGGTCTGGGTTAGAATTGATCTTCAGTAACCCATGCCTGTCATAAGAGGCGACTAACAGGATTGGGTGGTCAGGCTTGCTGACTTGGTTGATACATGTTATCTTATCCCAATTGCGCAGATCGATGCTCATGCTGTTGATCACTGGATTGTCTGGTTCAGACTCAATTATTTACAGACTGGCGCTATATAGCTGGATAATTCCTGAGTGTGGCGTAAAACTAAACTCACTCACTAATTGTGATGTTAACTTTTTATGCAATGTTTAACAGACCAAATGTCCACTGATCTGACCTTTAAATCACTATGCAACTTGATCGAGAGTGTGTGTGGGTCTTCTAACAACTTGCTGAAAGTCAACTTTTCACTGTATGAGGGAGTGAAGCTGGAAATCATGTACCTAAAGTCAAACTGCCAGCAATACAGCTTCTGTCATTATTGTCATACTTGTTGTTTCCCTGGCTGGTGCCTGGTATTTAGGGAATAGAACAAGGACTGGTTGGTTTGGAGTCAGGAGTCTGTATAATGTGTCTGAGTTAAATGTAAAAAAAATTGCATAGTGTCTCTGTGGCTAAGTAATTGTGAAGATCCGGTGTAACAGGCCAAACTGTCCCCCTGGCCAAACCTTCCCCAGGGAAACTTAATCTTGGGAGGTTTGTCCTAGGCCAAACTTTCCCCACCCTTGAATCAACTTTAAAGGCTACTTTTTTCAAACCCTTGTTCTTATATCAAAAGGGGGAGATTCTGGCCAAGCAAGACTATTTCTTCCCCAACCTTGTTTTCATGTTTATGTTCGTCTTGAAAAAAGTCAGAAACGAAAACAAGACATAGCTATTCATGTGAACACATTGATAAGATATTCATGTTGATGTCAAGTTCCATTAACAATTTACAGGCCATCTTCATCTTCATATATAACATGTACATGGTTTACATTTTGTTTCAATATCCTTATATAAGGTGAGATTACAAAGGAAAGCAAGCATAAAAGCAAAGATATTATATCATTGCTATTGTTTTATATTATTATTTACTTAATTTCTTATTTTAATAATTTACTTATCCCCACTTACTCAAAATTAGCTTATCTCAAAATCATTACTATATTCGAAACTTCAACTAAATACCCAGTTTTTACTTGGATGTCCATATCCACTCAAAATTTTATTCCATCACTCATGGCTTTGAATATGGCATCCATGTCGGCGACATCAACTTAACAGTTGGAAGCAGATGTAAACCTCAACACAACAACAACCCAACACAATATCTATATAATGCTGTATCATTTATCATTCCACTATATTGCCTTATTCTATATTCAAAAGACAAGGTTTGATAACGGGTATACTTAGCCCGTGGATATCTGAACCATATTTCATTCACCCAAAGTGATTATGGATTAGTAAACAAGCTTATGTGAATAATGTTCCATTACATTTATACAAAAATACAACTAATATTATATAATAAACAGCATGATAAGAGAACAAGCAGCCTGTGTATACTACATCTTATTTACCCATCAAATGTGCGATTGAATGTTTACATCTTATGGTGGACAGATGAAGAACTAATGCAATGTGCCTCCATAGGAATGGCGGCAGGAGCAGGATGGATTTAGAGATATATGCCGTTCAAACATGTATGCATTCAAATCACTATACCCAAGTCAGAGGCAAAAATTAAGTATTTGGCAAAACTGTGTACCAAAATATAGGTCAAAACAGAACTAAATATCCTAGTTTAAACAGGGGGAAAGTTTGGCCTAGTGGGGGGAACTTTAGCCTAGCCCAAACTTTCCCTGGGGTAAGAATATCCTAGGAGAAAATCTCCCCGGGGAAAGTTTAGACCGGGAAGAAATGGCCTGCTACACCAGGTTAGAATTTGTCCTCAGTAACCCATGCTTGTCATAAGCGGCAACTAACAGGATTGGATGGACGGGCTCGCTGACTTGGCTGACACATGTTATCGTACCCCAATTGCGTATGACTATGCTCATGCTGTTGATCACTGGATTGTCGGGTCCAGACTTGATTATTTACAGACCGCCGCCATATACGCTGGAATATTGCTGCGTGCAGCGTTAATCAACAAACCAACAACCAACAACTATGTGGCCAAGCCTCCCTGCACCTGCGCGCACAACGCACGCATCCACGCTCACACACTCACTCGCACATACATTCCAGAGAGAGACAGAGACAGACTCACGCACCACACACTCATATATGCATACAGTGTGTGTAGCAGTACAAGTTCACCATGTTCACTAAACCCATTTCACTACACAACCATTTTAATGAGTGTATGGTGTTGCAGACTAGGCTTTATGCTCTACTTCATGGAATCATCCAGCTTATCAATAATTGTCTGTATTTTACAGCTGAAATGGAGGAGGAACCAAAACAGAAGAAGAGCAAGAAGAAGAGCAAGAAGTCAGGGGAAGTGGATATGGATGAAGACTTGTAGTCATGGAGACGAGGAAGATACTACTAGATGTCAGCCTGATTGATTCACACATTTTCACTTTTACAAATTAAAGCATGGTTGGTTTGGAAGAGTGATTCAGTTCATGGTGAATGCCATTGGATATCTAGCAGAACATGCACACTTCGTGTGGAAATGATTGGTTTTGACCATTGGCATGACTGTTACAAAACTTCTGACAAAACCACTGTTCATGAGCACCACATCCAGTGGGATGGTTGTCGGAAAAGTTTGCCAGATGCCCAAGTGACCTGAATATTGTGTCAAAAGGATCACAGTATATGTGCTTGTCATTATTCGTGTATGTTGGGAGTCCAAGAGTCAAGAGCTCACGTTGGACGTTGTAAATATCTGTAAATATGTCAACATAAGCTGTTGTTTGTCTCTGTCATTGTCATGTATATCAGATCTTTTACTTGATATGATACATCTCTTTATGAAGATTGGGAATGCCTCCATAGCTGTGGAGGCTTCTGAATGCTAGGAGCAGGGGTGATGGGTTCAAACTGACCTTGTTCAATTCCCACATGGTACAATTCGTGAAGCCCATTTCTGGTGTCCCCTGGTGCGATATTGCTGGAATATTGCTGGAATATTGCTAAAAGTGGCGTAAAACCAAACTCACTTACTAATAATGAGTAGAGATATTCAGACACATATATTTGATTTCTGTCTCTCAAATACAAATCATCAGCATTATCAAATAAACAGCAGCCTTTTATTTAAAGTGTTTGGGATATTTTCTATATTCTGTCATGTCTAAGTGCCATGTGATTACCCATCCTGCAGCTTTTGTAAATGACAGGATCCTGATCCACAAAGCGTTCGTAATGTTACGACCTGTTGTAACTATATTGTTTATCATAGGCTTATGAATGATGTTGTGATGTAACGCTTTGTGGATAGGGTCTATGGGGGTTTATCGAATCAAAGGAATCTATGTTAAACTGTGTCATGATATCTGAGGCAGGCCTTAGTCAGAATTATTCAAACAGTTACACACATATCCTACAAGAAGGACATAATCTCCAGCGTGCCATTATACCCCTATCGACCTCACCTCCCACATTAGTGTCATGGCACCTCCCTCCGATAGTGTCAACTATGGAGGGTATATATATTTATCTTCTGATGTGTTTTTCTTTAGTTACTCTTAAAAGCTCTGAATTATGATGGTAAAGAAATTATTCCAATTTAGTTGAGAATGCTTACATTTGATTGGCTTAAGAGCACTAAGATTAAGATTAAGATTGGGGGTCAAGGTTTGCACAAGGTCATTTGACATGACCTTCCAATGAAGTGTCATCAGATCATGGAGCGGAGATGTAACCTCCTGAAGTAAAAGATCTGACAGTGGATTAGTGACTCCTTGAGATGTAAATGTCTTGCATTAATAAAATACTGACAGATTTTCTGTGTCCATTTTATACTTTTGTGCTTCCTGGACTGATATTTCTGTGTTGTGTGAAACACTGGAGTACATTGTGTAGTTATTTCAGTGTTTGTTAAATGCTTCACTGAGCAATATTCCAGGTATGTCATAGTAGCCTGTTCAGATCTGGTTCAGACAAGCCACTGATATAAAACTTGACCACCAGATACAGGAGTGGAAATTGGTCCCAAACCACCTCTGCCAGTAACATATGCTATATTTGGTTTTTTTTTTAGTTGAGTCCCATCCGGGATTCGAACTCGCACCCTCAGTGTTCGAATCCCGGATGAGGCTCAACTGAAAAAAAGTACTAGAATTTGTACTTTACTAAGAAAGTGTAATATAGCATATGTTACATTTGACCACTTTGTAAATGGCATTGTGTAATCACACCTCTGCCAGGGGTAAAAGTGACCAAATTGGTTGATTGTGTGTGATCATATGCAGAGAGTGAATTATTGATCACAGGAGTGTCTAGTACAGATGGGGTAGCCTAATGGTTGAAGTCCTTGCTCATCACGCCGAAGACCCGGGTTCGATTCCCAACATGGGTACAATTTGCAAAGCCCATTTCTGGTGTCCTCACACTCTTGTCCAGGTTTAAATGCTTTCACCCTAATCATGTTGCTTGAATGGTTTCGTGCAGCCTTAAACCACTAACATGCGACCCTTGGTGTATCAGCACATCAGTTTCACCACACTGTCTATTGCCAGCTTCACTTTGGGCATTCCTCCAACATAAGTTCTTGTGAGGTTATGGCATAGTGCCTCCATCATACTGCCTGCCCTACATACATGTAATGTGACATGTAGTTTTCTAGCAAGGCTTGTTAAGCTGAATTTTAGAAGGACTGACTGACTGACTGAGTTTGGTTTTACGCCGCTTTTAGCAATATTCCAGCAACATCACGGCGAGGGACACCAGAAATAGGCTTCACACATTGTACCCATGTGGGGATTCAACCGGGTCTTCCAATTTTAGAAGGAAGCCAGCTCAGCCATATTTGGAGACTGCTCTGAGATTTCTGATCACAATTTTATCTCAGGCAGTATTGATGCCATCTTTTATAAATTGGTTGATTACTTAGCCTTCAGGCATCATTAGCCAAAGGTATTATCTGGTGTGAAGTAGATTTTTGGATTGTCTTCTCCAGACTGACTTAAGTTGACTCCCTGCTGCCATATAGCTGGAATATAACTGAGTGTGGTGTCAGACAAACAGAACTTAAGCCAATGTGGCAGTTGTCCTCTTCAGTGATATTATCATTATTCAGTAATGGATTTACTACTTCACATATATGGTGGCCTGTGCAATGTCTACTTTATCTGTTTTGTCCAGCTGTCCACTGTAACCTTGTCTGAGATGACCAATACAAGCTCAATGTATACTAATGTATATGTTTGTGGTAGGGATCAGTTTTAATGTCACTTAACATCATGAGACTCAGTCTTGACTTCAGTCCATCAACCTTTCTGACACTGTTTCTCTCAACTTTGCTTGGGGCAGTTGGGTAGCCTGAAACGTCCAATCATCACGCTGAAGACCCGGGTTCGATTCCCCACATGGTACAATGTGTGAAGCCCATTTCTGGTGTTCATGCTGTGATGTTGCTATAATATTGCTAAAAGTGGAGTAAAACCATACTCACTCACTCACTTATCTTCAAATAATTTGAGGGCGGTGGCGTAGTCTAGTGGTTAAAGCGTTGGCTCGTCACGCCGAAGACCCGGGTTCGAATCCCCACATGGTACAATGTGTGAAGCCCATTTCTGGTGTTCATGCTGTGATGTTGCTATAATATTGCTAAAAGTGGAGTAAAACCATACTCACTCACTCACTTATCTTCAAATAATTTGAAGGCGGTGGCGTAGTCTAGTGGCTAAAGCGTTGGCTCGTCACGCCGAAGACCCGGGTTCGAATCCCCACATGGGTACAATGAGTGAAGCCCATTTCTGGTGTCCCCCGCCGTGATATTGCTAGTATTGCTAAAAGCGGCGTAAAACCATACTCAGTCAGTCAGTCAAATAATTTGAATTTATGTAATCATGTTTTACACATATCAAAATGTTTGCAAGTGCCTTAATGAAGAAAAAGGTTACCCCATTCTCTTCCCACAGAGGTTACTTGTCATATCTTCCTACGAACCTCTGTTCTAATACGGCCATATTTCCCAGTTCCCGTAAAATCCCCTAGCGGCAAAAGATCGCAACACGAATTATCTCCCTTCTTTCTATCGAATCAGAACACGTGTTACATCGACTTAGATTCAACTTGACTAACACAAGCAAATGCGGGGCCACAAATATCCCCCATCTGCCGGGGAATTGTGTTGATGTTACACACAAGACGTTTAATGGCTAGCTTGTCCGTTGTCAACGAGGGCGATGGAGACGCCACTGATCCGCCATAACATGACTGAGTTCTGTCTAGAAGAAACGTTTGCGCATCGCGCAGGGGAAGAAATTTAGATTTTCTGAAAGCATGCGGAAATTACCGAGGCCTTGCGAATGATCACTTTTGAAACAACGTCGCTGATTGCACAACTAACTCTGATTGTCTCCGATCACGAGTCTTGAACGCTCACACCATGAAAGGGCCGTATTAGATCAGAGGTTACGTAGGAAGATATGACAGGAGTAACCTCTGTGGGAAGAGAATGAGGTTACCCATGTGTTGTCATTAAAGTTTAGTATTTGCTCTGATTTAGGATATACCAGCAACTGATGGTATGACTAACAGATCACCGAAGTAAGTGATGGAACATTGGCATCATGGAACTAAAAATAAAATCCCTGTATAAAATATATTAGTATAAACTGTACTCATTATGCCTTTGTTTTCCTAACACAGAATATATAATCGCAAATTGTTTGTACTACCAGCCGCTGCCAAACATAGTGTGGAATTGCCGCCCTTGGGCAGATCAGGAACTTGTGATTGTGTGTTTGACTTTTTTTTCATCCTGAGTATGCGACTTGGTCTTTCAGCACCATATCCATGGTTTTCTGGAGTGGTAAAAGTCTGATACCTGCATCATGGGCTATAAGTTGACACAACTGGAATGCTGTTATAATGATATCCTTTAATCCAAAGTAGTCACTCACTCACTCACTCCACACATCCAATTCACAATAATGCTAGGGGGTGTAGATTTTATGTTTTTATTTTTGAACAATGCTGAATATGTAACAATTCTGTTTCTGGGTAAGAAATTCTGCTGGTTTAAGAATTAATACTCATATATATTAATACTCATGTATTGGACTAATGGGACACAACACTCATGAGTGGCTTGCAACATTGTACCATATGAAACAACAAAATATATTCTTTGAAATTGCATAAAACATTGGAATGCATCAGTAACAGTATAAAAAATATTTGTATGTGGTACAAGAAATATACATTTGATTGAAACTAGTTCTGTTTGAGAAAAAACTCTAAAGAGTAAAATAGACAGGAACATATTCGCTACATATGTCAAGTTAATTGAGGCTTATTACGGAAAGGATCTTTTGCGGTTTAGACATGTGACCGATATTGCAGACAAGCTCCCATGAAGATCCGGGTTAAAATTGGTTTTCAGCAGCCCATACTTGTAAAATTCGACTAACGGTATCGGGTGGTCAGGCTCGCTTTCTTGGTTGATTCATCTCATCGTATCCCAACTGATCGATGCACATGATGCCATTCACTGGATTGTCTGGTCGAAACTCAAATATTTACAGACTGCCGCCTTATATATAGAATATTGCTGAGTGCGGCGGTAAACAGCAATTCTACCATGTTCGTTTTTTGATTGGCTGTTACTAAAAATTAGAAGTGAAAAAAATTCAATAACCACTTCTGAGAGCTGGTTCACTGCGCGTAGAGTCAAAACATTACGCAAGGTTAAGGAGTGCATATTTAAAACGCGTTTTATTCATGGTGCATATGTCATGATAGAATGGAGATAATCCTGTTGTGTTTACATTTTGGAAGTGATTATAGCTGGTTGAACGCAGCTAAATGTAAAAGCGTGAGGCTTAGATGAAACAGTTAGCAGCGTCCAACCAACTATAATCACTTCCAAAATGTAAACACAATATGATTATCTCCTAAACAGACACGATTCTATGTAAAAATTGGTCCCAGGGAAGGAGCTACTAACAGATTTTGTTGGCAGGGGCGGCGGATTGGTTGCGTGTCATCGTAACCTGGGTCGTTGCTGATGATATCAATCACTGGATTGTGTGATCCAGACTCGATTATTTACATGGCGTCATCATATCGCTGGAATATTGATATATTCAGCTTTAAACAACGTGTGACCTGACGTTGTGTTATCGCACCTGATCTTAAGGTCAGTCACTGGAGTTTTTAGTGGACATTTGATTGTTAAAAGATCACAACATCTAAGTGGAACTTGCTGTAGACGATATTAAACAACAGGGAGAGACAGACGATGGAGTAACATAACACAATGAGATGACACCTACCAATTGTATGAAGTGAAAAGTCTGGTTAAATTGAACGTCACTATATGATTTAGTTCCATGGTCATGACACTGATATATTTTTGTATCTCCAACCCTCATAAGTTGATTAAATAGCAGACGCCATTGCACAAGCACACACGCACGCACAAACGCACTCGCACACAGTCTATGTAGAGAGCAACAATCGTGAACGCTAGGTTACATCCTGTACCACAGGACCACCTCCACTATGGTGATCGTAACGTATACCCTGGAGATTGTCGAGGATGATGAACCATGGAGTTGATTGTAAAGTTTTACATACACATAGTCGTTAGTATTCAAGGAACTACGTGTACTGGGATATCTTCATCGGAACTTGTACAGAATGATCTTAAGCAGCCATCAACAAAATCTTAGAGGAAATTTATGCATACATCCTGTGAACCTTTATGACACACCCCTACTGAAACCTTTCAACATCATCATATTAGATAGGTTTTGGCAATCACTATCACATTACGCTAGTTTTATCTACTTATATATTTCTATTTCATTTTTGAAAAATATTTACATGTCAGCCCTCTGTTGGTATCAAATGCAGTAAAGTACGTTTATGACGAACACGCTTGTAACGAATTGGGTCCCCCTACACTTGCTATGTAGTGTATGCTTATGACGATCTAAATTTAGTGATCCCTTTGAAATCATTATAACCATATATTACTGTACATATGCCACAACGCTCAACGTCTATAAACTGATACCCGTGAAGAACCGGGTTAGAATTGGTCTTCAGTAACCCATGTTTGTCGTAAGAGGAGACTAACGGGATCGGGTGGTCAGGCTTGCTGACTTGGTTGACACATGTCATTGTATCCCAACTGCGTAGATCGATGCTCGTGCTGTTGATCACTGGATTGGCTGGTCCAGACTCGATTATTTACAGACCGCCGCCATATAGCTGGAATATTGCTGAGTGCGGCGTAAAACTAAACTCACTCACCCTATAAACTGATAACTGAAATACAACAGCTAGGTGAAATATTTGAAATTTGAACATAATTGTCAACCCCAAATACATGCAAAATATCTCGACCCCCCAACACATACAACGTGTGGTCAGTCACCGAATAATGTTCAAATTGAATAAACGCGAAAACATCATTATTTATAAAAGGAAAGCTCAGTTTCTATGCCCCCATTGTGGTAGATTTTAGTGACCCCTTTCCCCTGCCTTTTGCTGCCATTTTCCCTGATATTGTCCCCTGAATTATACCATGTATTGTATTTACATATTTACACATTGATTCTTCGAGATGCTAAAGGAGAAACGAAACACAATACAAATACAAAACAGTAGCTAGATGACAAGCTACAAATTTGATCTAAATCATAGATTGTCAGTCCCCATATGGATACAATTTTGTTATGTTTCCACCAAATACATGTAATACCATGACACCCCACCCCCACCCCCGCCAACGTTAATGAACAATGTAAGTGACCATCCCTATATGTCATGTACAAAATCAATGCCCCCCTCCATGCCCCTCCCCATAATTTTAAGCAAATATTTAAATGTTATCATGTACAAAATTGCTCACCCCCAGTCCATGTGAAAATAGTGATGCCCCTACCTTCCCAGAACAAAATGGGTGCCCCCATCCTCATCACCCCCACCCCTAGCCGTATATTGTGTACGGTCCCTTAGGTTCATTCTGTAGTAAAAGTAAAACCGTCATTATTCAAAAATAAGAAAATTTTATTTACATGTTCCCATTGTGATAGATGTTTGTGACCCTTCCCCCATGACACTGTCATTTCTGGTGTCCCGCCAGACTCACTCACTGTGAGCTAGTATTCATTGGAGCAATTCCTAACAATGAACACATATCAAAAGCAAGATGAATGATCATTACACAAACTGAAATGATTGGATCTGATTTATCAATGGTCGTATGACCTTATTAATATTGTGTGTAAGAATATTAGTTCTTTCCCCTGTGATGTCGGTCATCCTCGTCATTGGCAGGCGGAGCTTTGTTCTTCTTGCCCAGGATTTTCTTCAAGTTTTTGCTCATGAAGTAAGGCTTTTCTGGGGATCCGTCGTTTTTCTCTATGTCCATCACTGGAAAGGAACAAGTACATATATAGCATACATTTGACAATGGTTATTACAATACATTATTATGAATAACATTAACAATAGTTTGAAACAGACTTGTATATTAGTATCACTATAACCCAATATTAACCAAGTTGACGACTACGGGACGTCAGATCTTATCGACCATATATATTTCAGATTAGGTTCAAAAAGAAAAGCTAGCTGTAGAAATATGTCCGTGGCGGATACTTTAACGAACAGCTAGTTATTCAGTGTAGCAGGTGGATCGTTTTGTATCGATACAGGAGAAAATTTATCGTGTGTCGTATCGTCTGAAGCAAAATCGAAGTTTTGGGAACACCTGCACAATGTTTGTGACTTTTTATTTACGTCTCCAAATGTTGTATACAGGCCGGAATAGCCCTAAATCCGCCATTTTGATTTTATGACGTCATCATCGAACACCTGGCTGACCTCATTTCACAGGGGTGTCAATGACCTTGTACTGAGTTGACCTTGGATTAAACCACTTTCCCAGGGGTATTTTTAGATCAGGAGCATAGCAACCGAAAGAGAATGACATCATGGTAGTCATGTAGATTTACATGTGTACGAGTGTGATGTTCATCGTACAATATTGTGTGTATTTGTGACTATTTGAGAATAAATCAATTTTGGTTATAAAAGTCCTAACAAAAGGTAGGTGAAGGGAGAGCAGAGTGGCACAGTGGAAGCGCACTGGGCTCATAACCCAGAGGACCGTGGATCGAAACCACACTCTGCTAACAACATGTTTTTAGAAGTTAGAATTAGGGCTAGCATACATCTATATAAAAGACAGAAACGGTGAAAGCCTCATTTAGCTGTGGACCCGTGATAGTGACACTTCATCTGAAACCTCTGTGTGAGAGTCAGTATTCATTCTGAACAAGACAATGAACAGGAGATACTGGAGACCCTATTTGGACGATCCTAAGAAATGGACCAAATATTACTATTTGCAGGCTAAAGCTAAAAACGTACTAAGTGAAACAGATTCTAGAACGCATGAACATTAAACCTTATCCTGAACGTATTATTTGGCTCTACAAACGATGGCAGCCCTTGTATAACACCATTCAAACCCATGTTTATCCCTATGTGGAATTTCATCAAGGCATTCCTTCTGATCTCGAAAAGGATGCGTTTCTGGACCCCCATGTGGTGAATGTGGTGATCCTCGATGATTTAATGTCGACAGCGAGCAAAGATCCACGCATTACAGATCTGTTTACGGAAGGAAGTCATCATCGTAATCTCTCAGTGATAGCCTTGAACCAGAATTTGTATTTCAGTAAGGATCCCACACAACGAAGAAACTGCCATTATCTGCTTCTGTTCAACAACCCTATCGATCAACAACCCATCATGACTTTGGCGAGGCAAATGTATCCAGGTAACACAGACCGTTTCATGGAGCCGTTTCAAAGGGCTATCCAGAAACCATATGGTTACTTGTTGGTTGATCTAAAACCCCAAACACCTCCCGATTTGCGACTTTGCCCCAATGCATTCAGCTTAAAAGGAGACATTCAAGCTAGGACCATTCAGTCCGAGTTAGACTTTCGGCGTGAGCAGACGTGTGAAGAAAACATCCCAGCCATGCCATCTTGTGATGACTGTGGACTCATGTTTCAAGACGTGCATGATTTGCAAAAACACAGAAGAAACTGGTGTCCTGTAAAGTCTTCAGTGGGTCCACCGGGAATACCCCAAGTTAAAAGGAAGAGGGAGGAAGACGACAACTTCTCTCCTGTGAAGGCGCCACGTACACTGTCAGATTGTGACTATTGTGGTCAAGTGTTTAGCAATAACCACAACTTACAAAGGCATTTACACGATAAACAATGTCCTGAAATGGAAAATGATGATGATGATGATGAATCATTAAACGATGTCACACAAAACAACAGGGAAAAAGAGATGGCTGATCTCGAAGAGCAAGGTATAAGACAAATGTATTCACGTACACGTGAGCTGAATAAAGACTTTTTGGATGAGAAACGACAGCTGTACATGAAAAGAGGTTTAAACGAAGACATGATTCAAGCCAAACTGAACAAATTCATGTGGAGCACGTTTAAAGAGACGTATGCCCGATTTATTACTTATCTGTACCATTTGCAGTATGGTCCAAAGACACAAGGAATACTGAAACAAGTAGGAGACACAAATAATCTGTATCATGATGTGTTTTCCAAACTGTACCAATATAAGTCTTGGGTCGAAGGCTTGACCGAAGATGATAATGCAGACATAACATCTGATGAAGAGAGTGAAGACCATGACGATTAGGAACGGTGATAAGACAACAGATGTAAAGTAAACTTCTGGGAGCGCTCCTATCCCGTAGTTGTACTCGTTTGAAAACGGAGCTAATAAAAAAATGAAATCAGTTTATCTTGTTTTTTTGTGATGTATACCTCGTTGGGAGCCACATTAACTTAGTGCGCCTAGTGGCAGCAAGATGCTCCCCGGGGAGTTGAGAATGGTAGTATGGCTGTGATTGACATCCAAGGAAAAAGTTACCAGCCCTTTGAGCATGCATGCGGTATGGACTATAGTGCTATATAAATACCCATATAAAAATAATATACACCAGTGGATTGTCATTTATGATTACTCTTTCATGCTAACACTATACAGTTACACCCCATTCCTGATGGAATTTTAGAGAAAGTTGCATTCCTAAATATGATGTAAAAAAAACCCCATGACCAGAACGCACATTTCAAAGCTGACACGCCCTAGTTAGTGTTCATTCTAACGAGCAGTTTTATTCATGGGTGTTTTAACACTCGCGAGAAATGTCGTCAGGCTATAACTGTCGACAGAAACCTCCCTCCCTCTGCCACAGCAGTGCCCCTAGACTAAGGCTTAGTCTCTGAATATATAATTTTGATAGTAACAAACAAGCTCATTTATATTGAAAAGGAGCCCTAGGGAGACCAGAGATTCTGAGGAAATCTAGACTTGCTTTATTTAGGGCTTTAGCACTGCAGAGAGGGCTTGGCAGTGGGGAAATTAAAGTGGTTCAGGGACTACAGTGCCCCCCGCCCCTCTCGCCACAGCATAGTCCCACACACGCAAATGTGGGTCACCAGATCGCGTCTCTGCTAGCACTGTGAGAGGGAGAGTATTTTGCACAACACAATCCCAGATATGTTCTATTTACATGGAAGGTGCAATATTAGTCTCATGTGTTTTGGTGGTTGATTCATTCAATACAATCACAAACATATGGGATTTGGGTATAACATCTCAATATCATCCCTGATTCCTATATTTATCGCATTACAAGGCAGGATACAATGACAATATGGATTGGATATTCAAATACGGAATGTGAATACCGGTGAGTTTGAAATACGTTTGAAATTCTATTGAGTTGGGTTGTTTTGGTGATGGTCAAGACAAACTCAAACCATTTTCATGAACGCTGATTGCATTGAACAAATGTGTTATAAAACCCGTGAACTGAACCCGTATCATTTCTTTTACAGATATGAGTGTACATGTTTGACTAGACTAATGTTTAGTGTCTGAATGTATTATCTTGATAGTAACAAACAAACCTATTTAAATTGACAAGGAGCCCAAGGCAAACCTGGGGGAAATCTAGACTTCATTAAGAGCCTTAGCAGTGCAGGGAGGGCTAGGCTGTAGGCAAAATAATATGGGTCAGACACGTGAGACAGGCTAATGTTAGACCCACGATTTTGAGTACAACTTGAGGAGGTATCATATTACACCTCGGCTGAGTGAGACGAGGGAAGTGTCTGGAGGCTGCGACTGTTAAATCACCATGCCTCAACGGCGCGCGCTCTGAGATGACAGATTTTCTCCGCAGAAAAGGTTATTGAGTATAGAAAATATAAACATTTTGTAAGAGGACAAAATGATAACTTCAACTGACTGTCAGAGGGTTTTTTTAATAGGTAAAATTGAAACCGGACCAAACTAGTTTGTGGTCAGTGGTCCAGTGAGCCCCGATAGTTGTTCTACGCTGATTGGCCTAAATTAATGGCGTGATGTGATGGTGTGATGCTATGATGTGTTTCCCACGGGGCGCGCGGTCATTGACCCCTCGGTCAGGGTGAGTCACACCGGAGTGAGTTGGCTGTATGCTGATTGGTCCAAATTAATGGCATGATGTCATGGTGTGATGCTATGATGTGACGCCGGATCCCACGATCATTGACACCCCTGTGAAATGAGGTCAGCCAGGTGTTCGATGATGACGTCATAAAATCAAAATGGCGGATTTAGGGCTATTCCGGCCTGTATACAACATCCAAAAGAACAAGCTTAAGGTGTGTATACTTTCTTTGGGACGTCAGTTGTTTTGGATTTTTAGGATACAGGTTAATGATTATACAAATGTGTATTGCTCTTCCTAACAAATGTCAACAAAATAATGATTTCATCCCTAATGTTCTTGCTAAGAGCATATCGTGAATGTATCCCAGGTAAATATTAGCTTTAGAAACTAGTCGCCACTTACAGAAGCACATGAACAGTGTGTCCACCGCCATCTCGTACACACTGAAGAAGCAGGATGCGATGATGTACGTGGCGAGGATGATGATCTGAAACACATAAGTGGGTTGATATAGTACTATATAGTTTCATGCTACTGCTGGTTATGTATTGGATAATTCATCACTGGCGGATCCAGGGGGCAAATCAGTTAAAAGCACATTGAACTTAATGTTGTGTATTGGCGGACCCCGGGGGAGGGGGGCGTGGGGGTTCAGAGGGGTTCAAAAACCCTCCACTGAAAATTCCTGGATTCGCGTATGAGTATTGTGTCGTAATGACCAATGACAACGAATCAAATGTTAGAACAATAGTGCGATGTTATCAGAAGGCTAACATTCCAATTATATAACAATGAATTTCGAATAGCTTTGTCTTGCATCCAAAAGCAATGGAGCTAAGCAACAAATCTTTGAACACGACGACATGGAGTCTAAGTCACAACCTGACAACCCAGTCCACCTTAGGGGCTCTAGGGACAAGTGTGCTACACAGAGGATCTGTCTGACAAGGGTCAATCACAATCAATTGTACAATATATACAAGAATATTGTCATATTTTATCTGTGGGATTACACGCCCTCTGTAAGGTACAGAGTCTAGTTCTCTTGTTGCATGGGTTGAGTCTTATGGTCTGGTGTTTTGAATAGCTTTTATTCTAGGGACATCGGAAATTCCCATCCACTCAGCTTTTGGCCACCCTTTAACTGCAAACAATAGTATGGGGACCGTATGGTCAGACATGCAGTGCTCTATGGGGAGTATGGCGGGGTTAAGATAATCATTTGGGACTGATATGGATTATAAAGTGGCACTCAGCAGATAAATGAAGCGGTGATTTGTTAAGTTTCGATTGCTAGCTCCCCCTACACTCTATCAGCCCCGAATCTAAAGAAGGGTTATCACCCTCCTTTGACAGTAAGAGTTCCGGTCTATAGGCAACAGTGTCATCGGGTACTGTGGAACATTCGATATCTATAATCGGGATCTGGACGTAACGGCATATATGGTGACTTACAATTATAGGGACGAAGTAGAAGTTGAGATCAGGCGTGTAGGTCTTCAGGAAGGATATCCGTCCATCGAAGAAGAAAAATGACATTACACCTGTAAAACAAAACAGTGAGTAAAATAGTATTTCAGTTAGTATCCAGTCAGGATCACAGGGGCGTGTCACGCTTAGAAACGGCGTTAAAAAGACATATAGGTATATAGGCCCTACGTGTCACGCTTAGAAACGGCGTTAGAAAGACATATAGGTATATAGACCATACGTGTCACGCTTAGAAACGGCGTTAGAAAGACATATAGGTATATAGACCCTACGTGTCACGCTTAGAAACAGCGTTAGAAAGACATATAGGTATATAGACCCTACGTGTCACGCTTAGAAACGGCGTTAGAAAGACATATAGGTATATAGACCCTACGTGTCACGCTTAGAAACAGCGTTAGAAAGACATATAGGTATATAGACACTACCCTAGTACTATATAATACTAGGGTAGGGTCTATATACCTATATGTCTTTCTAACGCCGTTTCTAAGCGTGACACGCCCCTGTGGTCAGGATGAGCTAGCTATCTGGCTCAGTAACACTCTCAGCACCTCGTGTGATATCAGCTTGTATCACCAGTGAGTAACAGATTTATACCAAACCAACTAAACAATTTCATTATATGCTTCCCATCAAATGTTTAGGCTCACTTATAACACTCGTTAAGTTGTGTAAATATGGTTACATCGAAGACTGATTTCTCCACTAACTTGGAGGAACCCACTGCAAACCTTATGCAAATGAATTGCACGAGGATCATGCATCAAATTGCTGAAACACATGTGCAAATATCGTGCTAGTGAACAGCTGCGTTTTAGTGAGAAGTTTTGTTATGAATTCGCCAATTGTCACCGATTTTTATTATTTATTGAACTCATGACAAAAATCCTTTCAACGTTACGAATTTGTTTTACAATACAACAGTTCATGTGTAAACAGTAACTTTAAACAGTATCTAATACTGTAATGCAAAATTTAGTTTGGAACAGTTGCCTGAAGTAAGTGGATATCGATTATTTATAAAATATGTGCAACGACAAAAATATTCTCAAGATTTATGATTTGCTGAAAATACTGATTGCTCCCTCTAGAAGCCAGCTGTACCATTTTATGTATGTAAGATATCAGATAATCACGTGTCACGGCAACTAAAACATTTTGGTTTCGAATATTTAAAAAAGGGAGATACCGAGGAGTAGATAGCTGGATTTAAGGACCTCCAGAAAGGCGGTACCTGTGTTTTAGTCAGGAATGAGTCATATCGATTTTCCTGTACGTACCCGGTCATTCATCACGGCCCAGCAACGGGCCACAATACCTGCGATTGTACCCGGAAGAGAACATATTTACATGTACCAGTAATTATACTCAGGCATGTCAAGGGGTTTCGATCAGTATGATCGCGGCAGATACCGTGGTGACTACCCGGATAGAGGTCACAGCCGCTATAACCGCGACCAGGGATACGAAATGAGCAGACGACCGGTAAGAGCAGACGACATTTTGTTATTGTTTGAATTGTTTAAATGGAGCGTTGTGTTTGAAAGGGATGGCAGGGTATATATATATATTTATCTCTCTCTCTCTCTCTCTCTCTCTAACTCTCACTCTCTCTCTCTCTCTCTATCACACACACACAGTTAAGGATTATCTTTTGAAACACCATTCATTACATGTCTGTATTCACGTTGCAATTCTATATTGTTAAGGATGGGAACACCAAATCACAAATCTATTCCACAAGCACGTGTGTCATGCGTATGGACGAATGTGTATAGTTTTCCGCCGCATTAAACAATATTCCAGCAATATCATGGCGAAGGACACTAGACAATGGTTTCAAACATTGTAACGATGAAACGATGTGCAACGTTTAGTCATTAGGCTACCTCGCCACCCCTTGAAGTAAGGCAGTTGCGTAAGACAGTTTTGTGGAACTGACAGATTTGAAAGTATCTTACCGACAGCGCCAACCACGACCAGCTTGGCGATGAACAAGAGGAAATTCGTGACCTTGTCAACAACTGCCACTCTAGAAAGAAAATCGAAAATATTTCTCTAATTAAATAGATTGAGAATTACTTTCGTATGAAACATTCCATGGTCCCCATGATTCTGACAATCATTTTCAATACTGATCAAGCAGAATTTAACCACGATCACTATGCTGTACAATGTTACACTGATAGAAACATTACCATAGAGGAACATTTTATAACATACATTCTTACAAGAACAATACACGTTTATACAGGGAAAACAACCAGAAGTAATGACGATTGTACTCACCGAACTATGTTCTCTAGAATCAGCATAAACGCCTTTCTAGCTGCCGAGCAAAAGTTTTTGCCATAAACTGCAGTCTGAAAGTATTTCAATATTTATGTTATACCGTCATTGTAAGGGAAAATAATGAAAATATTACTTTCCTATATGACTATAAATGTGACGAGTGAGTGAGTCTAGTTAATGTTTAAGAGTGAGTGAGTGAGTGAGTTTGAATTTACGCCGCTTTAGCAATATTCCAGCAATATTACGGCAGGGGACACCGAAATGGGCTTCACACATTTTACCCATGTGGGGGAATCGAACACGGGCCTTCGGCGTGACGAGCGAACGCTTTACCCCTAATGTTTAAGAAAATACAGCGTTACTATGGATATCTATTGGAAAACAAAATGGTTTTGTGCAACCTAAATCACAGCAAGGGAGCTCGCTCCATTGAGTCGTCTCATAAGACCCAAATAGGTTGCTGGGGAGTAATCCTAACTAGCTTTTCTAAGCTAATTTTGAAATCTTGGTTTGGACAGTATTTTGGAAGTTGTTAGCCAGCTGGGTATTTTGCAGGCAAAACAATGTGTAATGTGTATATCATGTACATTTACCTCTGGATCTGAGTATGAGACATTTTGGCATAACTGTGTTTGATAGCAAATATACATAACTGTCAGGATAAACAACCACTTACCAGAATGTAAGCATTTTTGTTCAGCAATTTCAAGAATTTCTCCAAACACCAGAAACAGCATTTTAGGCATCTACGACGAAAACATAGATGAATGAATTAAAATCCTAAAAAATATAATACATTCTTTCCGAAAAGAGGAAAGTGAGGTAGTCAAAATGTAAGGTCACATATACATTATTTCAGCAATTCAACATTGCTGACAATTTGTAGATCGAAAATACAGTATCATTGCATTTTCGCTGTTTATACTGTTATTCAGATGCAGAAAGACAGTTCCAACGTCAAATCCCGGCCATTCAGCCTAGTGCCTCGCCCACGTCAGTAGGACCCCACTGGTATACGTACGTACGATCTCGGAGCAACGACGATCGTAAATCTATGTTAAAGGATGAGAGCTACGGTCATCTGAGAAGAACACTAGGGTCGCCTGATGTCACCTAGCTTCCTGAATGATACCCTTGCAGTATCTAGGCTGCATACAACATGTTGGTTATATTATTCCTCAAAAGTGACGGTGGGTGTGAGTAGGACTTTACATGTATTGAAACAAACGTGGAAAAGAAGGAGAATAAATTTTAAAAAAATAAACAATTCTTTGTTCCACTCTATATACCAACAAACACGTTGAGAGGTGACACACTGAAACCTGCTGTTTAAAACAAGCAGATCTACAGCCACGCATTATATCGCAAACGTGTAATTCTGAAGCCTAAATACTTCATCACTCCAGCTACTTCAACTCACTTGATGAAGAACTTCCCCACTGGGTTTTCAGTCCCTTTCAGCTTGTGGTCAATGTATTCCAACGCCAGACGGATCATCTGGACTATGGCGATGATCAGCGAACCAAACGCCAAGGTTCCAAGATGGTATCTGTAATACAACGTTCACTCTTTGTATATATCAATACTTTGTACAGTACTGTACTGTATCACTTGTTGACATCGTCTTCTTTTGTCTAGGGTGTTTCGTATACACAGCATAATGATGACGACCCTGAAGGTTGGTCTGGTTGGTTTGTTGTTTAACGCCGCACTCAGCAATTTTCCAGCTATATGGCGGCGGTCTGTGAATAATTGATTCTGGTCCAGAACATCCAGTGATCAACAGCACAAGCATCGATCTACGCAGTTTGGATACGATGACATGTGTGTTCCAAGTCAGCGAGCCTGACCACCCGATGCCGTTAGTCGCCTCTTGCGACAAGCAGGGGTTGCTGAAGACCAGTTCTAACACGGATTTTCACGCATAGTCCTGAAGGCATTCGCTACTACCAATAATTATTGTGCGTACTGAGAACGATATATACGACATGACGCTAACAAAAGCAATCCAGTCACATGAAACTCACGGGGAAAAAACATTCTGCTAAAAGAGTCACCAAAAAACTGTCAACGTATACGTTTGTATTGTTTAAAAGTTTTTGAGCATCCAGAATATCCAGTGAACGAATTTTCTTTGGAAATACTGAGGATATATCATTTAGAATTCACGGGAATATGTAATTATTGTTTTCACAATATAAATAAATAAATAAACACGAGAGAATAACCCGTCGATTGTCCACCCAGATTCATTTGGCGTAAAGGCAAAATAACGGTAAAAATTACAGGAATGGATCATGGATCCCAAGATGTTTCTGATAAGCCCAAGTAACGCAACTCTGCATGCCATATTGCGGCGCCAGAATCAACACGAAGCAAACTTAAGTGAATGTGTTGGAGTCTTGTGACACTGGAGAGCTAGGAGAATGGACGGTCAGTACCTGAGTGTCCGCCATATTGCCCCGAGAAGGGGGAAGGTGGGGACGTCCTTTTTCTTGTCCCAAGCCCAGTAGTAGGAGGCGAAGGCTCCAGCCAAGGTCATCTGACCGAAGGCCACTACAAAGTTGACCATCCAGAAGAACATGAACACGTTGTAGATCTGGAGGTAGATGGTGTACCTGAAAGGACGGGAAGTTCTATTTAGAACTTAACATATAAACAAACTGTCGAGCGCAATATACACCCATGTTTGATAGTAGCTAAAAATTAAAACGAAGAAAAAGAATAACTTCTTCAAGTGGCAGTTAGAAGCTGGTATGACAAAGAGGATCAATTTTGTTATGGACAGAAAATTTCTTTAAATTATCTTTTTAAAATCATTGATTGGCGATGTATTTGACACGGTTTGTGGTTGAGTTTTCGGTGACTGTCTTCAAAGTGTACTTTCTTTTTCTTGACAATAATCGTCTTTACGTATATGATCCAACGAAAGCTTTGGTTAGTTTAACGTTCATTTCAATTATTTATACTGCTAATTGTGGAATATGCCAACATTTCTTTTTGTGCCATGCTAAATTGTAGTAATCATATCTGTGGAAAAGGAATCTAAAATACATTAAACCCAACGATAGTGTCTCCGAAATAAGGGAGTGTGAGTACAGAATAATGCTCCTTGCATACAGTGAATCGCGGTTTCTAGCACTTAGTACCACATTGGAAAGGTGGGGTGTCAGGCTTCGTCACTAAACAATGTCAATCTTGCATTTTTTTATGTTTTACTGTTTTCTACAATTGAAGCCCGCTTGGAGTGGTACATCGATCCGGATTATTAGAAAGGTCATTAAGGACTGAGTCATTGAGTAACTACTCGGATATGTTGCTTTACTTTTCATGAATTTGATGAATTGAAGACTTCGAATATTGTTGCCATTTCATGCCAGAATTCATACTATTTCATATTTCTCCGTAATCAGCTGTAAATTATTCATGAGCTGAATAATGTTATTCTGTCAGAAGTAGTGCATTCTATCAACCTAGCCATTGTGTCAGAAAATTAACTCACTCTCCGCCATGGTATCTCACTTGTGTACAGAAATCTCCGAGTGAGGTGTTGGTAGTTGGCAAAATCTGAAACAATAATGTTATGTTGATAAGAAACCTATACTGAAGTCATTGTTCATTGTGAGGCATCAATATTAGGTGACAAAGCGGTATCTGGATTGACAAGAATTAGAAATACTTCTGTGCCATTTTAAAAAAAGAATTACTGTAGCACAGTCTTATTCATTCATGACAGAATATTTGAAGATGTTGTAATTGCTTGTCATTGGAACACAATATCAAAGTGATATATAATGAAGAGAAAGCGCGTACCTCTTGATTACAAGCCAAATCGATAAGATTGTCCCCCTGTGCTGCAACAGCCGTAGGGTCGATGGTCCCGTTAGGAAACGTTACGTTAATGGCTGACGTGTTCTGATTACGTCCAACGCTGGCTAGGAAGCTGGATGAACGTTAAGGTATTTTTGAATGTTGGTTACTTCTTTACCTTTCGAGACAATTTTTAATTCTTCAGAAACTTTTTTAAAGATTTCAGTAGAGTTTGACACCGTTGTCTCCTTGCATCCTCTGACACGCATCAACGTAACGGGATACTGTTCAAAGCGACGTTAAATCTAACTCATTCATTCACTCCCTGAACGTTACGATAGGATACACAGCTATAGTTGCCCAGCCTGTGATGACAGCCAGTTGTAGGACAAACGGGACGATTGGCCACATCAGTGTGAAGATCATGTTCCCCACAGCTCTGAAAATTTACAATTTGGAAAAATGAGCATTGTTAATATAGTGGGAAGACAATATTTTCGCCTATAGCTGGAAAATTGCTGAATGCAGCGTAAAGCAACAAACAACACTAAGGCAAGATTACGTGGGTTTTAGTAGCCGGGCGAGCCATAAACACCAGCCAATAAAAGTTCAGGAAGGTTTCATGAAAAATAAAGTAATAGAAAATATTTTGAAAAGCCACCGAATTCAGGCGTTAATACTATCATGTTCCAGTCTTGATTTATCACACTCTTGAAACGAATACTAATGAACTCTTCGAATCAGGTATCTATCGTCTCTTCTGAGAATTATGCTCCCTTAAAGCCAACTGGCCTTATTAAAGTGTTATCCTTCGCCAGCTGAACAGAAAAATATTGGCTTTTAGGTTTACAGAGATGTGTAATAGTTAGTATAATTCTGTTATCTGATGAATCTTCGTCTCTAACAAAGAAAGTCCCTTCAACAGATATGCTGGAGATATATGAGTTCTGTACCTACCTGCTGCCTTCCTCAATGAGGGCGATTGCAATCCTGATTCTCGGGATGAGGAAGAGGAAGATGAGGAAGACGATGAGGAAGATAATTCCGGCCGTGATGCCTGTGAAAGATATGATGATATGATATAGTATTTTTTATTTGATACTGCATGGTTGCCGAGAAAGGCCATCGCTTCCTCGCCTCAAAATATCCGGTGCGAGAAAGCGATAACATGAAAGCGATATTATGGCGCGAGTAAGCGATATACATGTACCAAGACGAGTAAGCGATATACATGTACCAAGACGAGTAAGCGATATACATGTACCAAGACGAGTAAGCGATATACATGTACCAAGACGAGTAAGCGATATACATGTACCAAGACGTGTAAGCGAGTAAGCGATATACATGTACCAAGACGAGTAAGCGATATACATGTACCAAGACGAGAAGGCCATATACATGTACCAAGACGAGAAGGCCATATACATGTACCAAGACGAGTAAGCGATATACATGTACCAAGACGAGTAAGCGATATACATGTACCAAGACGAGTAAGCGATATACATGTACCAAGACGAGTAGGCGATATACATGTACCAAGACGAGTAAGCGATATACATGTACCAAGACGAGAAGGCCATATACATGTACCAAGACGAGTAAGCCATATACATGTACCAAGACGAGTAAGCGATATACATGTACCAAGACGAGTAAGCGATATACATGTACCAAGACGAGTAAGCGATATACATGTACCAAGACGAGTAAGCGATATACATGTACCAAGACGAGAAGGCCATATACATGTACCAAGACGAGAAGGCCATATACATGTACCAAGACGAGAAAGGTCATATACATGTACCAAGACGAGAAGGCCATATACATGTACCAAGACGAGTAAGCGATATACATGTACCAAGACGAGTAAGCGATATACATGTACCAAGACGAGAAGGCCATATACATGTACCAAGACGAGTAAGCGATATACATGTACCAAGACGAGTGGCGATATACATGTACCAAGACGAGTAAGCCGATATACATGTACCAAGACGAGTAAGCGATATACATGTACCAAGACCAAGTAAGCGAGATATATATATGTACCAAGACGAGTAAGCCGATATACATGTACCAAGACGAGTAAGCCGATATACATGTACCAAGACGAGTAAGCCGATATACATGTACCAAGACGAGTGTTTATATACATACCAAGACGAGTAAGCGATATACATGTACCAAGACGAAGTAAGCTTAGTAAGCCGATATACATGTACCAAGACGAGTAAGTTTATATACATGTACCAAGACGAAGTAAGTTTATATACATGTACCAAGACGAGAAGGCCATATACATGTACCAAGACGAGTAAGCCGATATACATGTACCAAGACGAGTAAGCCGATATACATGTACCAAGACGCAGTAGCCGCTTATATACATGTACCAAGAGCGTTTATATACATGTACCAAGACGAGTTTATATACATGTACCAAGACGACATGAAGGCGATATACATGTACCAAGACGAGAGTGATTTATATACATGTACCAAGACGAAAAGCCGATATACATGTACCAAGACGAGTAAGTTTATATACATGTACCAAGACGAGTAAGTTTATATACATGTACCAAGACGAAAGTAAGCGATATACATGTACCAAGACGAAAAGCGATATACATGTACCAAGACGAGAAGGATATATACATGTACCAAGACGAAGTGTTTATATACATGTACCAAGACGAAGTAAGCCGATATACATGTACCAAGACATTTATATACATGTACCAAGACGAAGTAAGCGACATACATGTACCAAGACGAGTAAAGTTTATATACATGTACCAAGACGAGTAAGGTTTATATACATGTACCAAGACGAGTAAGCGATATACATGTACCAAGATTGAAGTGCGATATACATGTACCAAGACTAGTAAGGCGATATACATGTACCAAGACGAGAAAAGTGTTTATATACATGTACCAAGATCTAGTAAGTTTATATACATGTACCAAGACGAGTAAGTTTATATACATGTACCAAGACGAAAGTAGTGCCCGATATACATATACCAAGACGAGTAAGCGATATACATGTACCAAGACGAGTAAGCCGATATACATGTACCAAGACGAGTGTTTATATACATGTACCAAGACGAAAGGCCGATATACATGTACCAAGACGAAAGTAAGCGATATACATGTACCAAGACGAAAGGCGATATACATGTACCAAGACGAGTAAGTTTATATACATGTACCAAGACAGGTAAGCCGATATACATGTACCAAGACGAGAAGGCCATATACATGTACCAAGACCAGTGTTTATATACATGTACCAAGACGAAAAGTTTATATACATGTACCAAGACGAGTGTTTATATACATGTACCAAGACGAGTAAGCGATATACATGTACCAAGACGAGAAGGCCATATACATGTACCAAGACGCAAGCAAGCCGTTTATATACATGTACCAAGACGAGTGTTTATATATACATGTACCAAGACGAGAAGGCCATATACATGTACCAAGACGAAGTAAGTTTATATACATGTACCAAGACGAAAAGTTTATATACATGTACCAAGACGAGTAAGCCGATATACATGTACCAAGACGAGTAAGCGATATACATGTACCAAGACGAGTAAGCGTTTATATACATGTACCAAGACGAGAAGGCCATATACATGTACCAAGACGAGTGTTTATATACATGTACCAAGACGAAAGTAGTTTATATACATGTACCAAGACTTAAGTTTATATACATGTACCAAGACGAGTAAGCGATATACATGTACCAAGACGAGTAGTATATACATGTACCAAGACGAGTGTTTATATACATGTACCAAGACGAAAGTAAGTTTATATACATGTACCAAGACGAGTAAGCCATATACATGTACCAAGACGAGTAAGCGATATACATGTACCAAGACGAGTGTTTATATACATGTACCAAGACGAGTAAAGCGATATACATGTACCAAGACGAGTGTTTATATACATGTACCAAGACGAGTAAGCGATATACATGTACCAAGACGAGTAAGTTTATATACATGTACCAAGACGAGTGTTTATATACATGTACCAAGACGAGTAGGCGATATACATGTACCAAGACGAGAAGGCCATATACATGTACCAAGACGAGTAAGCGATATACATGTACCAAGACGAGTAAGCGATATACATGTACCAAGACGAGTAAGCGATATACATGTACCAAGACGAGTGGCGATATACATGTACCAAGACGAGTAAGGCCATATACATGTACCAAGACGAGTAAGCGATATACATGTACCAAGACGAGTAAGCGATATACATGTACCAAGACGAGTAAGCGATATACATGTACCAAGACGAGTAAGCGATATACATGTACCAAGACGAGAAGGCCATATACATGTACCAAGACGAGTAAGCGATATACATGTACCAAGACGAGTAAGCGATATACATGTACCAAGACGAGAAGGCCATATACATGTACCAAGACGAGTAAGCGATATACATGTACCAAGACGAGTAAGCGATATACATGTACCAAGACGAGTAAGCGATATACATGTACCAAGACGAGTAAGCGATATACATGTACCAAGACGAGTAAGCGATATACATGTACCAAGACGAGTAAGCGATATACATGTACCAAGACGAGTAATCTATACATCATGAGAGCAATGATCGTTTTCGGCCATCATAATAATGTGGAACTATGTGTTTTAACGTTACAAACACTGGGACCGTTATGTTGTCAGTAATATGTCGTTTGTCGGTAGCAAATTGCCACATGCTATATACATTTATAAACTATATACATCTCTTAACCTTGGAATAGTCTCATTGAATGTGAAAACACCCAGGTCCAAGTCTCGCACTTCGGTTAGCCTACACTAAACCCTTGATCCATTCCTGTGATTCTTGCGATCTCAAACTACTCGCCCTAGTTTTTACTGAAATTGGGTCTGCGATATACCAATCGGATCATGTGAAATATGCGACCCGAATCAAATAAAACATCACCCATTTTTGTATTTTTATGTATACCGAAATATTGTGTCTTCGAAGTCATGCATCTGACGTCGGTCTCAATTAATGATATCGGTTGAAACATTGATACATGAACACCGCGTGTCTGAGTCACTGACGCCGATGAAGCAGAGAACTAGTCTAAGAGGAAATAGTTAAAAGAGGGACCTTGGTCCCCCAAATCGGTTCGGTTCGTGGGGTATAACAGCCTCACGAATAAACATTTCTACTTAAAAATATTTTTAGAGTTAAACAAGGCTGAAACAGTGCTGAATCGAAAACGAGAATTGCAATATACAGTAGCATAAGTCAACGACCGTAGAGATATATTTCAAATTAGAAGTCGTAAGTAAACTGACGCTCAGTGTCTGAAATGTTTTTGTGTTGAGACAAACAAGTGACTTTATTAATATTGAAAAGGAGTCCAAGTGGTTTGGGAGATTCAGAACAGAGGAAAGTCTCTTTGGGGCATTGGTGTTACAGATTAGGCTGGCGGCATTCGTCACCACTCGCCCCTTTCCGTAACCTCCAAGAAGATTATTCGGCTTGTCCCGGAATAACTCGAGTTGGTCACGAATGCACGAGTTGGTCCCGAATGGGTCGAGGGGTAAGACAGATTATGGTCGTGTGATAAATACAATGATATGGAGAGACTCTTACCCAATCCAAGATAGAACTTGTCTTTCTCAAAATCCAACTGCATGATAGCTATATTGAGAGTGAATTTTTCTGTACTGCCCCTGGTCTCGAAATACATGTAGATGCCGAACACAGCACCTGCAAAACATAGAATACAGTGAGGAATGTAATATCTGTGTTTCAATAATATGCGTAAAAATATTGTACCTTAGTCCTGTGTGACCTCACGACCAGTTTGCTGATACAACGTGTGTTTATGTTTATGCTGCACGCGGCATTATTCCACCAATAAAATTTAATAATCCCTCCTAAAATAACTGTCCCCAAGAAGATCCGGGCTAGCATTCTTTGTCAGCAAACGCATGCTTTTTACTGATATTGATATTCTGTTTATCGCGGATTTTATCTTAATTACGAAATATACTTTCAAGGCGGTCTTACATATAAGACCTTAAACTAAATACTTTAAATTAATTTAATTTGTAAAGCGATTTGTTAGTTTGTTGTTTACTCAAACTTAGTACAGAGCACAGTTTCTTGTTCAGTGTGAAGTTAAATCGCGTGCATTTCGTTTGATTATGTAATTGTAGCCTTGAAAGTCCGCAATAAACAGAGTATCAATATTGTCTTGCAAAATACATGTTCATCTCCAATCGTAGCCATGGTCTATTACACGTTGTTTTATCTCCAGTGATCGTTTTACAATGAAGATGTATATAATTGGCCACAATCATATTAAAAGTCTGCGTATACAGAGTGCATTGTACGATTCCTGTGTATCATCTGAATATTTCAACGAATCACTATCAAAGGTGAGCGTATCCTGCTCCACCGATGCCATCCGTCACAACCACATGGAAAGTCAAGTCTGGAATATGTAGGAGTGAGTGAGTGAGTTTAGTTTTACGCCGCACTCAGCAATATTCCAGCTATACGGCGGCGGTCTGTAAATAATCGAGTCTGGACCAGACAATCCAGTGATCAACAGCATGAGCATCGATCTGCACAACTGGGCACTGATGACATGTGTCAACCAAGCCAGCGAGTCTGACCACCCGATCCCGTTAGTCGCCTCTTACGACAAGCATGGGTTACTGAAGATTTATTCTAACCCGGACCTTCACGGGTCGGAATATGTAGGAAGACTGCAAACCAATGAAGCACACATTTTCTCGTTCATTGTGAATTAATATTGTTTGCATTTCTTTTGATTATGGACAAGGGTTTGTCGCAAATATTATTTTTATCAGCATCATCATCATCATCATCATCATCAACAAGAACACATACAGTACCTCCGGCAAAAAGAAGGACAAAGGCGACAACAGTGACCCACACCATGACCCCCGCAATCCATCGCATCAATACGATCCATATCAGGGAGATGAAGCACGCTATACAGAGGGCACTGTGGAGACAAGCAAGGTGGGTGTCCCGTTTTAGAATTGTTTGTATATAAACAATAATACATTTCTACAGAATTATTATGACATTAGAACGATTATGCGTGTACAGTTACTGAGTGAGTGAACGGTTATTTCTCATTCGGCAATTTTACAAAGAGACGTGTTAGTTTGTTCAGTGGTCGATATCATGCGACCCAGTCATTACTGTCGGGAGACAAACAAACTGATCCGGGGCATAAAGTGATCGTACCGTTGTCGTGATTCAATGTTTTAACGTAATGAACTTACAATAGTCTTAAGGACCGTTTCTCAAAGCGATCTTAGCTTTAAGACGGCCGTACGTCTGGGTGAAAATTTAGGCCTTTTGGTATTCGTAATGCTTTCACTTTGTGAAACGGGCTCAGGTTACATATTCCAAATAGTTTCAGGCACAAAATAAATATTGGCAAGCATGGTTCTAAAATGTGGGTTTGTCACCTTCCATTATGGAATCAATTTGTAAATTTGTAAAACAGTAGCTGCAGGGCCGGATACAGCTTTTGAGAAAAGGGTGTGGTGGGTGTGTGGTTGGGGTGGTGTGCACACTGTTGAGAAAAGAGGGAGGGGTGTGCTCACTTCATTTTCACCCGAGTTTCAATTTTTCAGGACAAAGGGTGGGGTGCGCACCCCTCCACCCCCCTCTGAATCCGCCTATGAGCAGTATGGATGGGGGGGGGGGGGGGCTTCCACAAAACTCTTTGTCACCACATCCAACAATATTTTATAAAGAGATAACTTTATCACTTGTGGGAGACGGCAGAACTGAATCGGGTAGGAAGTTTGGATTGTGAATGTTCCGGACATCGTTCATAATATCAACCACTGGTTCGCTTATCTACAGGCCGCTGAGACATAGTTGGAGACTTGCAATAAAGATATAGTGTGATAAGGATTATAACAAGTATAGGTTCTCACATGAGGATCATCCACCACGTTGTCTGAACGTCAGTTATAGCCTTCTCTCCGTACTGCTTGGCTTGAAAGAACAGGTCAAATACCCTGGAAAGGAGGATTGAACAACCATTTAACACGTATGGCCTACATGGAGCGACGATCAATTCTAACTCGGTAACTAGAGGAACATTAATTACATGTCGTATACCATTGTTCCAGATGGGTCTCAACCAAAAAACAAACTGGAATCTATAGTTCACGAACTTACGAGTCTAATCCCACATATAACATTTGTTACTTTTGTCTACGTTATAAAAGCACTGAGTATTTGTTCAATCCTTACTGTTTCGCTTTTTCAAGAGTCGTTCCATTAATTACGCCGTCCATACCAGTCAGGGTGACGTTTCTTCCTTTACCGTCTTCTATGAGGGTTTCACCAAGCTCCAGCAACTTTGTGATAGGCAAGCACCGTAGTACAACTGAAACAACACAGCACAAACAGCAAGGTTTACTCATCATCATCATCATAATTAGATATTTATATAGCTCACATGACCACGCAAGTAGTACATGTCAAGGCGCTCGTTTTCCCCCCTCGATCATTGGATGGCAATCTCAACGGCAATCTCAATCTCCCTTAGGAGTATACAACTCTTGCAGCCACTAGGCGCACCAAGTTATGTTGGCTTTCTCATCCTAACGAGGTACCCATTCACAGCTGGATGGATTGGGACATATAGTCACAGTAGTTTGTCCAAGTTTACTGCACGTTGCTGTACCCGCAACTAAGTGTTGGAAACGTATTCATGTGGTCATCATCTGGTCATTTACCAACAGATTCGTGGGTTATTTTAAGTGCACAGGGTCGTGTACTGCACACTAGGGGTTGTGACAACACTGAAAGAGTCTGCACACAAAGCTGACTCTAAGGTTTTTTACACGGTCACCGGTGGGCTCGATCCCGGCACCTCAAGCTCGCTGGATCACTAGCCTGGCGCCTTAGACAGCTGGCCCACCATGCCCCCAAACTTGACATGAGCATACTTACTTTACTCTACCATGCTCCTGACATGGAAGTACCCGTGAAGATCCGGGTTAGAATTGATCTTCAACAACCCATGCTTGTCGTAAGAGGCGACTAACGGGATCGGGTGGTCAGGCTTGACTTGGCTGACACATGTCATCGTATCCCAGTAGCGTCGATCGATGCTTATGCTGTTGGTCACTGTGTTGTCCAGACCCGATTATTTAAAGATCGCCGAGATATAGCTGGAATAATGCTGAGTGAGTTCGGTGTAAAACTAAAACTAAACTCACTCACTCAAACTCTGACATTATCCTGGGTTAAATATATATACTTGTAAATGCAAGAATGAAAATTGTATATTTTCTACAGATAAGTTCTTACCCGCTTTACTTTTTAGGTAATATGGAGCACAGTCTTGGTCGATGATAAGCTTTTGTATATCCTGGAATGGAAAACATTATGTATATTTTTATAGGTTCCTTTTACATGCATACATTGTAATATTTACATAAATGCCAATGAGGGGACTTTACTCAACGTGAAAACATAAATAAATGCGAACTATCTGTTCGTCAAATCAAATTTACGATGAAATGATTTGCTAAAATGTTGAATCAGAACAGGCATGGCAACACAGCTAGAACAGGATCTATTTCAATTCAAGATAGCAGTGGGGTAGCCTAGTGGTTAGAGGAAGAAACCGAAGAAAGAATTTCTTTTTAACATAACATTATAAGTTACTTGTAAAATTCTTGAAACACATGTACACCCTCAAGTGTAGAATTATCTCTAGTCTATCTGTTGATCATATACATTTTCTGTTTCTAGATTAATTGTGTCAGCACACTGTCTGTACTGGTGGGTTTCTTCACCATCACCTCGGCTTTCATCCCAAATAAACTTGACACTGACATAACTAGAATAGTGTTCAAACAGGCATTGATTGCATCTTAAAGGCATTTTCAATCGCCTTACCTTTGATCTGTCAACGCCATCTTTACATATCATATCATTTTTGTCTCCTAATACTGACTGAAAAAATACGTAGTTGGTGTCTGGACACTTCGATACACAGACCTGTAAACAAATAAGGATAAACCATACAACCAGACGCAGGATCTGCCATATCTACACACAGCACAGCTCCTGATAACGAACTTAATTACACTTGAGTTATGAATATGAGTAACCATGAAAGGTAATAGATCGCATATTCTATGTGTACACAAGGACCGTTTTTTAAATAATCAGAACTCAGGAATCTACTTAGAGTTTCGCACAGTATTCATAAGATTACACTTTCTATCAATTCCCTTGTGGGCTTTGAGCAGAGAAAGATTGGTAGGGTTTTCGAAAGAGTTCGTAATTGTTCCATTGAGTTTACTCACTTGTGGCGTCGGGCATCCATTGACGACCACCCCCGGGCCAACTCGCGCACATTGCACCAGGTCGAAGAAGAAAAGGTATGGCTTCCCCCTGTTGGTAAGAGGAATATTATCAGGGTGGTATGTGCATCTTTAGACATATGTATGCCAAGAATTTGGGATGGCTGAGTGGGTTAGATGGCTGACTTTGTCTGCTGGCTTTGAGGTGCCTGACTGACAGTGTGGGTTCGAATCCCGTATGGGGCTCAACGTAGCAAAAGTTCTAGAATCTGTACTTTACTGAGAAAGTGTAATCCCAAATATAACATATTTGACCACTTTCTAAATGACATTGTGCATTCATATGTGTACCAGGGTTGTACATTACAATGACAATACCGATTATTCGTAATGGATGGTCACGCGTGAACGTCAGATTTGGCTCAGGAAGCTAATGACTGGTTGAATTATCAACACAAAAGTACGTATAATTATGTGTATTGGGTTAGATAAGAACCCTGCAATGCCAACTGATCCTATCCAAGTTAATCACCATCAGGTAACTGTTATCATCGTGCGAAACTGAAGGACCTTGTCGTAACTGTTGTAAATAATGTCGGGGATCTTTCGATTAAAATGGCGGCAATCATTAACGACAATGAAACAGTTTCTGTCTATTTTCAAAAACTTACTTCTGGTTCCCAAATCCACACGTTTCGCCGTTTGAGTTTTGCGGGTAGAGTAATGCATTGGGGTTGCCAAGTGCATATGCTGTAAAATGTAAAAAACACCAATATCACTGCTTATTCACAAGTTAGCATTTCTTGAGAGGCTGTCACAACAGGAACGTTTTTTCGACAGCAAATGAAAGCGTCAATTTTCAAGATGTAAGTGTTTGTAAGGGATTAAGTCCGTGAATATCCAGGTAAATATTGGTTAATATTAACATATTATTACATAATAGTTTAAATATCTGAGCAATGTTCATACCCCTCAAAATGGCTTCTGAGAGTCCAGTGTAGTCGAAAAATATTCGATCCCGGGTAATTACCCGAATGATGTATTGGTACTTATGTTATTTTATCAATTAGTGTCGTAGCACATCATAGTTATCTGAAATTACATTGTTTCTAAAATATTCAATTATAATTCATAAAGTCTTTACTTTCGTGCACAAATCAATCTAATGTATATGCAAGTATTTTGGCTATGAGGCCTCTACACAAATACTTACGTTGTACTTAAATTTTAGGGAGGTCATGCTTCTCAATACAAATCATCATCACCCCCTAGCCATAAATCATGAAGGGTCCTTAAACGTGTCTTGTGTTGTTGTTTGACGTATGCTTACCGAAATAGGCAACGACGACCAGTCCGATGACGAAGATAAAGAAGACAAGGCAGCAGATGATGTCTGTACACGATCTGGGGACATCATACATACGTTATAGTTTCGGTACAACATACTCAAAAAAGGTTCTGTGGCTCACCTTACTAAAACATAATTCCTACAGTGATGATTTATGGTACATAAGGAAAACAGCAGACATATATTGTCTATGGCCCTTTAAATATAGAAAAGACAATATCTATCACGCGTCCAAATACGTTTACAAAATTAATTTTGGAAGGACATAAGTGGCGAAAGACATTATTTGTGTAGAAAATGGTGATATTCGTAGCATGAAGTGGGTAAGGACATGTTTACTCTTTCAGCGAACACCTGGTGTCATCACTGATTTCCAGTGATCCATTTATATAATTTTCAGAGCTATGTTTCCAAACAGAATTTGTTTCTAGGCTTTCATTTGTACTGACGTTCTATATGACGCATTATGGGGGTAGGGGGTAGCTTAGTGGTTAAAGCGTTCGTTCGTCACGCCAAAGACCAGGGTTCGATTCCGAACGTGGGTACAATGTGTGAAACCCATTTCTTGTGTCCCCCGCCGTGATATTGTTGGAATATTGCTAAAAGCGACGTAAAATTAAACTCACTCACTCATTTCTTGTCGTAATGTTTCGTTTCATTACTAAAAATTAAAAATTACCAAAATAGCTCATTATAGCTTGGGGGTATTCTTTCACCGCTTCATCCATGGCAGATATAAACAGTGATATAACTGACAACAAATACACTATTATTGGCCACAGAGATATAACCGTATAACGAGACGCTCTGGCACATGGTGGACGTGGTACAAATACTGTTGATGGCAGACACTTGGCCTTACCAAGTGAACTGGGAATCGAACCCGGTCTTCGCAGTGACGAGATAACGTTTTTACTACTTAAAACTCCCAAATGGAGTGCAACCTACCTGTTTTTGATGGGACCTTTTTTTGAAGGGTCATATTCGTCCTTGTCTGCAAAAAAGAGACAATGATATAAGACTGAAAATAGTATTCAAGTTTTGGTGAGTAGCGTGGTTGTCTTGGCTTTGACAGACCAAACATAATTATGGAAATAGCGAAAACGTCCAATATAACCATACCACGGTTCTAAAACGACCATCCCCCTTATCCGTCTTACTGATCTTGCTGACTGGCTTGCTTTTTTGTGTGTTTTGCGGCTTTCTGGAAATAAACAAGCTTGGATCCGTCAATCCGGTGACTGACAGCAGGAGCATCTTTCTAGGATACGATGATATTGATCAAGCACGTCAGCAACCAAGACTACCCGATTCCATCACTTGCCTTAAGGACAAGCATGGGTCCCTGAAGACCAGTTCTAACCCGGATCATGATGGAGCAAGCATAGGATGCTGAAGACCAGTTCTAACCCGGATCATGATGGAGCAAGCATAGGATGCTGAAGACCAGTTCTAACCCGGATCATGATGGAGCAAGCATAGGATGCTGAAGACCAATGCCAGCGCGAATCTTCACAGGGTGGAGACCAAAATGGGTTGTAAAAGATCAGCTCTAACCCAAGTCGTCGCCATGGGAAAACGCGAATGGGTTGTTGAAGACCAGATTCTAATCCGTATCTTAATTGTGGATAGAAGCTTTGGTTGCTAAAGCCTAGTTCTAATCCAGATCTTCACAGGGAGGGGGTAAGCACAGGTTGGTGAAGACTGTTCTATCTTGGATCTTCACAGGCTGGGGACAAGCGCAGGTTACGGAAGACCAGCTCTATCTCGGATCTTCACAGCGCGGGGACGATCATGGTTTGTTAAAAACCAGATCAATCCCTTTTCTTCACAGGGTGGGGACAGGCACAGATTGTTGAAGATCAGTTCTATCCCGGATCGTCACGAGGGAAACAAGAGTGTATGAGTCCCATATCGCTATTGTAACTCTACCCGTCTTACACGGATGCTAGTATCGATCTGGTTGAATGTATTCTGACAAAGGTCGGAAACAACCGAACACGGCGTGTACAAATCAATGGAAGCAATACATAATTGAGTTTGGTTTGAACGACACTGTTCAAGCCATCAAGACAGTAATTCGTTTTCGATTGTGTTGGTATTGTAAATATCACATGAGTTCGAATTCTCTGATTAATTGGTAATCAAAACCAGTATGAGAGTTTGTTTCCATCACTGTCCATTGTCGTACTTTTGAGGCCTAAGAGAAACTTCAAGGCACTGTCTTTCAAAATGTGTTAAAAGAAAAACACATATTGTGCATCAAAGTAGCTAGAAACAATCACTTTATTCGTGGGTCCTGTATCTGCCTGGCAACAAAGGAGTAACTAGCCTTTAAAACAGATCGACATGATTCAACTATTTTGTGGCTTCACACAAAAAGTTTCTTTCGGGGGCCAAACCTTTCGTGGCAAAAGGTAATCTTTTCTCTTGTCTCCGAAGCAGCAAACGACAGAAGAAAACACGTTGTGTTATTTTACCCAAATGTATTTCATACAGTTTCTATACCTTTAATCTATAATTTATGCGTGTGAATGCATTATCTAAAGTAGAACACTATAACCCCATTCTAAACCAAGTTAAAATTGTCAGTCATACCGTTCGAGCGATAGATCCCACTGGCTGTCATCTGTGTGGTGTGTACGACTCTGAATGCAGATTTTCTATTAGCAACCCTCTTTATAGGCAATACATCAAAGCTGTGTAAACAAAAGCTGTAAAACAACACTGACTGGCATTTATAGATGTAGGCGGACTAATTAAGGGCAATTAAGCTTCTGTAAGCCAGGATTAGGAGAATTAACGCTACTCCAGTCAGATTAATTCCAGTTAATTCCAGTGTTGTTTTTAGTAGTAGACACGCCAACACATCTAAAGTAACGCTTACAATGAAAGTGGGGAAAGGTGTGACAGCCAGGTCGTGGCAGTAATTCTTTGTGTAACTAATGGGATAGAGGATGACAGTTAAATTAAGCAGCTGCTTATAATAATATACTTTCATCTTATATGTTGTAATCAAAACTGGAAAAAAAGATGTTTATCAATTGCAAGCATGTGCACGTGGCATAACCAGTGTCAGTTTCAATTAAAATTAAATTAAATTAAATTAAATTAAATTAAATTAAGTTAAGTTCAGTTCAGTTCAGTTCAGTTCAGTTCAGTTCAGTTCAGTTCAGTTCAGTTCAGTTCAGTTCAGTTCAGTTCAATTCAGTTCAATTCAGTTCAGTTAACCTAACCTTAAGTTTTACAACTTATCGGCGGTTACATGAAGCATAACTTGATACGGCTTTGAATCCCACTGACGCCACGTGGTAGACTATTACAGATACATTGAACTGATTGTAGTTAATTTCCCAGATGTTACTTTATTATAGACAAACTTTATGGATAAAAATTTCTTTTATTTCGTGAGAGCCACGTTTCGATACAGATTCTTGTACCGTTGTCGAGCAGGATGCGAAACCACTCGCGAAAAAAGAAGTTGTTATCCATAAAGTTTGTCAACATTGTACTTCCCATTTTCTTAAATGCTCATCGAAGAAGTTAACAGATGTTACTTGTCCAGATTACATTCCACGAGAGGCAGAGATAGTATAAGACATCTTCACCAATATCCAACAAGAATAAAATCAACTTCGCTGATTTCCCCAATGAATGCTAACTTTATCAGAGGGTTTACGTTTTGCTAAAAACAAACAAACTAATTTGCCAGTATGTTCTCATGCAGAAATATCAACTGATGTTTTTACATATAATAGATTAATAGACATAATGTTTGTAGTTCGAAATCAGTTAATACAACTGCATACAACTGTCGTGTTTATATTACGTCTTGTATGTTGCATGAAACCTACGATCAATACTGAAATACAGGGGCGGTGTGGTAGCCTAGTGGTTAAAGTGTTCGCTCGTCACACCGAGGACCTGGGTTCTATTCCGAACATGGGTACTATGTGTGAAGCCCATTTCTGGTGTTCCCCGCCGTGATATTGCTTGAATATTGCTTAAAGCGGCGTAAAACCATACTCACTCACTAAGATACACCAACCCACCCGCAGCCCAACAACCCATCCGAAAACATAGAGGTGGAGTGGTAATGTTTGCAATAGTTTTGCAATGGCCACGCGAACTCATTCGTGACCAACTCGTGTTATTCCGACACTAGCCGAATAGGTTCTTCGAGCCTACGGAAAGGGGCGAGTGGTGACGATTAGCACTAACTCTGGTCGCCGGGATGGTAACGTTTTGACAAAATACATTGTAGTCGACTGAATAATGTTGCATGGACAGCGTAAACTTCAACTTAACGTTCCGACAGTGTGCCGCAATGTGGTTCGTATCGATGACATTCTATAATGACGAACATATGTAGCAATATAAGTGCTATCGGGAGGGCTGGTCATTGGGGCCTGTATTGTGCAAATCAAGGCCTGACCCTCAGGTCCTCAGTAATACAACCCATGCCTATCTATTTCTGGTACCTGTTGTTTATTTGATCCCTTCAGTTCACTCAGTAATCTGTGTAACAGTCCCTGAACCACATCATTTTCCTATTCGCCCTGGCCTATCGCTAATGCTATACATAGGGTGGTGAGGTAGCCTAGTGGTTAAAGCGTTCGCTCGTCACGCCGAAGGCCTGGGTTCGATTCCGAACATGAGTACAATGTGTGAAGCCCATTTCTGGTGTCCCCCGCCGTGATATTGCTGGAATATTGCTTAAAGCGGCGTAAAACTAACTCTAATGCTATAGCATGAAGCAAAGTTAGTTATTCCGGTCCCACCAAGGCACCTTTTTAACGAAGAGTTATTTGTTTCTATCAAATTATATGTTTTCATAGACTTTAGTCTAGTTCTGCAGTTTCGGCCGTGGAGACAGGATCATAAATAAACAGGATCATAAGTAATACAGAATTTTGATAATTCAGACCATTCCTTTTTAACTCGCCCGGAAAAACGAATCATTTGTGTAAGGAGTTATACCCCTTTGATTGTAAATAGGCGTTTCCATCCTGGTTCCCGGGCCTCTCCTTAGTTCCTATAGAGCTCTATATAAACTAATGGGAGGCCCGGGAACCAGGATGAGGCGTTTCCAACAGTATTCACCCGGAAGACGGGGTACCGGACAAACGGGTCCAGATTAAGGAGGTTTCGGTGTAGAGTGGACGCAAGATCCAGCGACTAATTATATATATAACGACACGGGAATCTGAAGCTGTGTCTATATCCACAGAGGGACGTTTGACAGTGAAACGATACAATCTCAGAATTTAAGATTCCTTGGCTACCAGGGTCAGGCTTAAAGCTTATCACAGTGTAAGATAGAGACAGTACCTTGCGGAACATCCGTGTAGGTATACGAGGACCTATCAGATGACATCTTAGAGGTCGCAGTGTTGTTCAAGTCGGGTGTGGCGTGTTTGGAATACTACTCCAAACGTCGTGAAACAATACCCCCAAACTCGTTAATTGTAACTCCATGGCTCTTTGCTCAACCTAGAGATCGAGATTTTGTAACGGCGAACCGGCGCCACATTCCTGTCTCTTTTGCCACTCAAAGTCTCTTTTGCCACTCAAAGTCGTTGTCGCCAGATTGTCGTATTATCACCATACCGATATAACAGCATGTCTGTTGGGGGAGATAAAGGTGTAGTAAATGGGGTTAGGATTATAAGTGTTTACTATGATAGGCCTAACATACTTCGGCACCCTCACTGGTTAAAATCGATGGTTCTTCCCGGGGTCGATTCCCTATATGGGTACAGTAGGTGAAGCTTTTTGGTTTTGCAAACGCGAGGATCCGGGTTAGAATTGGTCCATTCACAATCTTCTACAACGAGACAAATTGATCCTCTAAGATGGGTTTCACCAATAATGACTGATCAAGATATACCCGTGAAGGTCCGGGTTAGAATTGGTCTATACAGTAACCCATACTTGTCGTAAGAGGCGACTAACGGGATCGGGTGGTCAGGCTCGCTGACTTGGTTGACACAT